ATTTCGGTCTCTGGCGCCGGGCAAGTAAATTTCCCAAGAGAACAGTGCCAGCTCTGAACGAAGACTACTCTAGTTTTTCCTTGCCTTCTGAGCTACCTAACGAAAGACTGGCTTGCAGCCATTTTTTGCCGCAGTGCGATCGACATCCCTGCACGCGAAGAGACCTACTGAAGTCGATCAGGTAGTCTACGCAAAAGACACACCCCAACTAGGGCTGTATACTGCCCTCTCTCGCACTCCCCTGCTCTTTTGTCGCACAGACAAATGCGGAATCCCTCGCCTCTCCTCCCGGCCTTTCTGACCAAGCTTCGACGGATTGAATTTCATCGGGCTAGGATACAGCCCGTCGACGCGGCGAACAGTACTTCTCATCAAGTTGGTTTCGTCGTCGTATCCATCCGCCCGCCATTGCCATCGCGATTGTTGTTGACGCCGACCTCAACCTGGTCTTGTTTGGTGTTTGTCTGGTCGTGATTGAGCGCGTGCGGGAGGAGGAGCCAAACGTTCGGGCGGATATTCGTCCTGGGCAATACCTCAGAACGAAGAATTCATTTCGTATCTGATTGTTCGAAGCCCAATACCATTGCCGTGCTTGACGGACAATGAGTCATCTCAGACTGGGATTCGTGCGGCCAGCAATTGTAACAACTTTCTTAACATTCAATGAGTCACAAGAGCACATCACCTGCTCCGCTGACTCGTGGAAGGCCGCCACCACGGCCGTTACTGCTATGGACGGAACCCTTGCTTGTCGGACGAGCGTCGAAGCCCCCGCTACGACCAGCCCAACCAAGCTCCATCTGCTTATTTCTGTTCATGAATGGGCCGGGGGGAGGATAACAAGGAAACGTACGTACTTTGAGGGGCGATCGTGCCACGAAGGTTTGGCATTGTTTCATTCTTGATCCCGGGCAGCGTAGTATGAGGCACGTATTGCTGCCATTACTCAGTGTCTTACTAATTTTGTCTTTCTCTCTTACTTACACTCACCTACGCTCCTCTCTATCCCTTGCTCGTTTCTCCGCCTTCCTTCGCGCGGCAGCCTCTCGTTTCATCTTCTCTACCGCCCTGTCACTCTTATTACGACCCCCCCCCAATCCCCCCGCCCTCCCGCCGCCACCGCCTGCGCTACTAATCACGCTGGCGCTGAGTTCGCCAGGCAGAACGGACGTAGCAAACACCGGTGCCCCGCTACCCCCACCCCCTCCGGCTCCGGAAGTCGCTGCAGGGGGTAAAGGGGCGGCGGGGTCTTCCATAGCCACCGTGAGGGCCGCAGCGCCTATCCCACCCCCTGAAGGAGGTTTGTTCTCTCGGAGATCGACGACGCAAACGGTTTCAACGGTTACTAAGGGAACGGTGCCTCCTCTTGCGTCAGGGCTCGTCGCAGACGGCGAGGCGGGGCTGTGGTGTGGAGAGGATTGATCCGCCGCTGCCCCTGCCGTGTTTGTTCCCCCGCGAGGTGCGGCCCAAACGCCTGTCCCTAATGCTTCCACCTATCATGTTTAATGGCGTGACGGGGCGGGGTGGGGCGGGGCGGGAAGAGGAGCGGGAGAGACGAGGGGAGGAGCGGGGGAGGAGCGAGTCGAGTGGGTGCTGGGGAGAGGACCACAGACATAGTAGCATGAGAAACGTCCGTCTTGTTTTGAAATTGTTCGTGTATGGCCTGCGGATGAAGCTTACACCGCGTGGCGGTTCCAAGAATACAACACCCGGTCGGTGCCTGCCACGGTCAGAGCGTCCACTTGCCTTGCCCCCCGCATGGACGTAGACGTGCCGCACCCGCTCGCTGCGCTCTAGGGCCTCCGCTATAGTCCGGATGCCCTAAAAGAGATGCGTCAAGAATGCTACTTAAATCAGTTGCACCCAGAAGAATGGGTGCGTCTCGCGGAGAGAGACAGTCACTTCTCGCATGCTTGAGTGCGGTTGTGGATGTCAACAAGTAAAAGCAGGGGGGAATGTGCGTGGTTGAAATGGCTTATTTGGCGCGATGCATTTAGCTGGCAGTTTTTAGAAGAGCTGTTTATCTGTTGTCGTGGGAATACAACCTTGGGAAGGTTCCTACTGACATGAGCGTGAGTCGAACACCAACTATTGCGCTGGTGGCGGACCCAATCAGCCGCAATCTTCGTGTAGTCTAGACCAATTAATCGACAATGTGACACAACAACTGTAGCGCTGCCTGCAGAACAAACGTTCATACCAATAGGCCACACGTTTCTCGGACGGACGCACCATACCGTTTACACCGGCATATCGATCTGGCAGGTGCATCGAGGTGAGGCAGTTCATTACCTGTTTGGATACTCTGTTGCTTCGAAGGTCCACCGACCGCAGTCCCATCCTTCCCGCCAGCACTGCTCCCAGAGCGGAAGCGCCCTCGTCCGTAATCTATGATATGACCACGTGACAAGAGTGAGCATTCAGTTTGCAAAGTACTCCTACACCGCGGCATCACTCTAGAAGAGTGTAGGGGGGCTGGGGATACTCATCTTCACGCATAGGCCCTCACACCCCCACAACAGCCTGGACTGAGGGAAGAACGGGGGGTATCGCTACCTTCGCTTCGACAGGATGTCGATCTCAGGTCCAATAGTCATAGTTTCTCCATGATCTTACTATCTCTACCAGCAACTCCCACCGCACACCCCCAGCCTCCTCGTTACTTATTGCCACGCTCCAACCAAGTAAGGTGTCAATGTTTTGCACCTCGTTGCCCCTCAAGTTCAGCTCGGCGATAGTCGAATTTCCTCTCAGCAAGGCGGCAATGGCATGGACTTCCTCATCTGTCACACCGCTTTCGGGCAACTTTTGCGTTGTCAGCAACGGCATCAATAGCAGTACAAGCGTCGGCACCGCCACCAGCATGGACACCCGCACCACAAGCATCCGCACCGGGTTTGTCGCGCATGACAAAGGACCGCGAGGGGAAGGGACACGCGAGAAGAGGGGGAAGATTGAGCTAAGGTACAAGTTCCAAGTATAGAGAAATAAATGCGAGGGGATGCCCTACGAGAGACAGATGCGAGATCACCTTCATGTCTAGCGAAACAAGAGTTCCAAATTCCCGAAGTGGCTCACGTAGAAGTAGGATTTATTTCATGTCTCGGTCACGGGACATGGCGGATCAGTGATAAATTAAACATTATGGACATAAATCAACCCATAGATCCGCCTACCCTCCCGCCCAAGCCTGGATGAACCCTGTCGCGACCAACAGAGGTCACACAACACGAAGACTGAAGGCGCACAAACACCCCCACGACGATTACTTCACAGCACCTGGATGATTCCCCTCCCCGGCCGTCCCACGGCGGCCGTCATGTTCTTGTGGGATTCATCGTCTAGGCCGAGGGACGCGGCCGCCTTGACCGCGTGAATATATCTCAGCAGCGTCCGCCGCTTCGCTTCCTCCTCCACCGCCACCTGGCGTTGGGATCAAGTTTGAGGGTTGAGGCAAGACGCGATGAGTAGCGCAGGAATGGTCGACAACGTAGAGGCTAGGCCCGGATAACCGTGCAAGTGATGACCTGTGCTCTTTGCTTGGATACGTACTCGAACGTCAACGGCACTGACGTCGCCGCTGGTGCCACCCAGGGCATCTTATGCACCGCTCGCTCCTGAACCCCCTGTTCCTCGTCACGGCATGAGATAACATCGTCCGACAGATCGACGGCGACAATCCCTACACAATTTTTGGCCGGTCAATACACGCTACATAGATACCTTGTGGATCATCACCCACGACCCCACCAAAACCACCACACGCAACACCACCATCGTTCCCGAAATGTACTCGCCTTGTCCTGCAGGTAGGCATTCTTCCGGCACATGAGCTCCAACTGCTCGGCTCTTCCGCCCAGCTCGGACTCCTTAGCCTTCCTATCTTCCTCCTCCACTAGCAGGAGGGCGTACACCTGTCGTGGTCGTGGTCGTTTGATAAGTCAGCCGAGTCAGGTTTGCGGATGTTTGTAGGCGACACGCGAGGATCAAGTGGCGGCGTGCAAGGAAGTTTTTATGTAGTCAAGAGCTTGTTTTCTTTTTCGATCGAGAGAAGCTCAAAGACGGGGTTTCTTACCCTCTTCAATCCACGAGCAAACTTGGGTCAGCCAACATGTACGAAGAAGACGATCATTACTGAACAGCACAGCGCGTACGACGTGGGTCTTTCGCGAAGAACAACAGCTACGAGGTGAAAAGGTGAGGCTAAACGGGCCACGAGCAAGTCTGCATTTCAATGAAGGACAACAAAGAGAACGAGCCAACCACTACAAAACAACAGGCCATGGGCAGACTTTGAAACGATCCCCAGCCACGCGGCAAATATTTCAGTTTCGGCGTGCTTTGCCTACCTGACAGATCCTTTCGACGGCCAGCTCTTTGAACCTAGGCGTCTTTTGCGCACGCTTGAGGAAGGCGTTGACCTCTCTGCCGCTCAGCCAATCACGATCAGCCGCACGCTTCGCCTTCACCAGGAGTAGCCCCTGTACCGACAAGCGACGTCGCCAAGAGAGCCACAATGTATCCTCGAGTTTGTTATATTCTTTGGGTATTCCCCGGTATCACTGGTCGTTGCTCCAATGATGTAGCGCTGGCCTTATCCTTGTGTGGAGTCGTTCAGTGGGCCTAGATCTTCGCGCTTGTAGGTACGCAACAGCATTACCAGCCGGAACGGTCCTTGAATGGTGGACATCGATGCCAACTTTTTCCTAGCATTTTATAGTGTACGTCTTGTCGTGAGGCCCATTCCTTGGTGCCCGCGTGTATAGCCAATGAATTTCGCACCTGTGCTGGTTTCGACTCCACGTAGAACACCCCCCGCCCTGCACTTGCTCGAACGGCAGCGATGTCTCTTGCGTCTCCGCCACCGCCACCGCCGCCACCGTCCTCCCCGTCAGTCCCCGTCTCACCGTCAACTTCCGGACGGTCCTCGAAGTTCCCCAAAGCGGGGTCTTTGGCCTAAGCGTAGTATAATTTGTTCGCGAAACACGCGACAGGACACAAGTCAAGGAAACATTCTCTGGAAACTCTTAGAGCAGTATATGATCTTCTGGGCACGTGAGCAGCGAATTCGAGGGAAACGTGTCGGTAATGGTGCACAAACGCAGCGGGATGACGAGGGGTGGGGGGGTGGGGGGGGGTAGTGTGCGCAAGGCTGTGCGCGAAGGAATCGATCGGGAAAGTTTGGGAATACCACCGAGAAGGTCCCTTCTCTTGTGCCGTCTTTTCCGAGGGTGCGCAAAAGAGGTGTCTACGGGCCATGTTTATGACGCTAAAACAGCGACAACAACCGCCCCACCTCCCTGCCCACTACGATTATGGTTCTCTCCCCCACACCTCCAAGACCTCGGGCCTGTTCTATCCCGGCCCAGCCACTTCACTTATTCGTTGGTTCCATGCTCCGCAGCCCCTCTACCTTGAGCTGTCTGTTGATGGCGCTGTTGATGACAGAGAGCTGATCCAGCTCGTCCTGCTTGAGCCTGACCGCCTGGGTGATGATACGGTTGCTCTCGCCGGCCTCTTCCAGCTTTCGCTGCAGTTCTTCCGTGCGAACCATCAACGATTTCACCTACCATGGTATGCAAGAATGACAGACAGAACCAAGAACACCGGTTAGAGAGCCAGGCGCAATGCCGAAGTTTTGGGGTTGCATGAGAGATGAACCGTATCTACTAGGGTTTTTAACTACAACGCCCAAAGGAAGGGTGGAAGGTGTACACTGACAGGGGGAGGAGCGGGGCAGCCGACAGGTGTGTTTGGTAGCGAAGGCCAGGTGGATGGACTGTCGAGTCTAAGTCACGAATTCGAAGATGTAGTGTGGAAAATATTTTGTAGACTGTGCTAGGCTACCCTGGCATCTATCAATGGCAGCCGTTATCTCGTCATCTTGCACTAGGGGAATGAGGGAACAGTCGGGGGTATTTTCCCACACATCTGAGCAACTACCTTCCAAACACTAAAATTCGCTTGTTGAGTGCCTCCAGGGACACGGGTTGCAAAGGATGCAGGGCGACAGGAAATGAGCTTGATTCTGACGGTCTTACATCGTGCGAAATGTCGGTGCGCCATTGGTTTTGATAAGGTGATTCAGCTGTGTCTTGTACGTGGTCACGTGAGAAGTGAACTCAAGGTTGTGCGTCAAATGTTCTCATACCGCATGGAAGCGAAAAACCTAACCGCGAACAAGCTCACCTGCGCTTCGGTCTTCTTAGACTCTTCTTTGAGGATGACTCGGGACTCCTCGTCCGATTGCATCTTGTTCAGCAGGAAGGACAGTCGCCCTCCCAAAGTGCGCACCTGCCGCCAGTGTCGTTACGTAAGATGGCGTGTTGGAACGAAAAAGCAACGTTGGTTGTTCCTTGTTACAATAGTCACAGATAGTCTATACAGCCCACGAACTAGCAGAAAGCTGCGGTATGAAACCAGATATCTTGAACAGGAGTCGTTTCGCGAGGGGGGTGCCTTGTCACCCCGAGTACGTGATGCGGCTGTCCCAAGCAACGAGTTCCCAACGTGTGACATGTTTGCATCTGGATCCGGGAGGAGTGCACACATGAATCTGCTTTGGATCTATACGAAGTTGGGGTTCCGTTTCGAGACGCCCACGGAACTGCCGAAGCTGACCGTACGCTTGGCTTCTGAACCCGGTACCCTTTCACCTTGTCCTGGGTCTCGACGCGTTCGTCGTGCTCCTTGAGCTTAGCCTTGGCCTCCTCTCGGCACCGGCAGGCAAGCTGCGCGTTGTGCTTCTTGAGGGCGGAGACTTGGTCCTGGCTCACGCGCAAGTCCAGCTCCGCCTGAGCAAAAAAACGGCCCAATAACAGAATTAGCTTGCAGTTATCGGCGTGCAGACTGGACGGCAGACTAGGCGGTATCCGCAGAAAGGACTAAATGACTCGTGTGCAGCAAGTAGTACGTCATGCTGCCGTTGAACGGGAGTTCGAAGTCCTGTTCGGCGCATATAAGCCCCCGTGAAGAACAGGGGTCTGACGGTATAGCACGATAATACTATCAATTATCGACAACGATTCATCTCCGTTGCTCTAGTTCCAAGTCGTGCTTCAAAGATTCAGCATACGCTTGCTACGTTTTTGCTGACCTTTACACGGGATTTCCCCTCCTTGGTGCTCTCCTTGATCAAGCGGGAATTTTTCTGCTTCATCGCGACCAGTTCCTGGTCCTTGTGTCGAAGCGCCTGCTCAACCCCAATACGGGTAGACGCCGCAGTTTTCCGTGAACGTTTCGTCGTTTTTCGGGGACGAAGGGGTAGAAAGGAGATGAATGGGCGTTGCGGATGGGTTGGAGGTCAAGACACACGTGACTGAAAGCAAGCATGCCTGGGAGGAGGAGGAGGAGAAAACCAAAAGCTGGAGCAGCGGAGGATCCGAACGCTGCAGCGGCTGGTACGAACCTTCAGTATGCCACTAGTGGCGCCCTTGACGTCTACTGTTCCGGTCACCAACCCTGGAATTTGGTACGAGCTAATGCCAATGAGGATAAACCACACCTCCATCGCCTTGTTCTTGGCCAGTTCGGCAAGCTTAAGCCTTTCCAGCAACTGGAAAACCTTCTCGGCCATCTCTCTCAGCTGCTCCCCGCTGTCCCGAGACTCCATCTCCATCCTCATACGTTCCGCCTCGCTCCTTTGAACCTAGGTTGTAAAACATCCTCGTGTGAGTGCTGTTCCGACTAACCGAAGAGACGGCGCAGTCGTGCATTCAGTATTCGACACAGCGCAAGATCACCCTTCGGTTTAAAGCTCTGGGTCGTCCTGGTACAGTAGCGCGCCGCCAAACGAAAAGCAAAATGGACCCGTCAGCGCTCCTACACACGAGTTGCCCCCCCGTCTCGCTTCGACACCTTGTCGAAGAAGTTTGCTGTTCGTTGCAGATCTTCCAACTAAAACAATTTGTTGCGTTGCCGCCCGTCATGGTTTGCAGTAACAAGATCAACCGAAACAGAAACGATGACAACGATGAACGAACGAACGTGTCCCGCTCTTTCATGCGTACCTTGCCCTGGAGCTCTCTTAGGCTCTGCCTCGTGTTCTCCGCACCGGTTACCAGCTCGCGGTTCGCCTCCTCCGCCGAGCGTCTGCCCCTCGCCTCCACCTGGAGCTGGGTCTCGAGCTCGAGCGATCTGGCGTGCAGCGCTCGCAGCTTGTCTTCCATGCTGGATACCTTGTTTGGTTTGGCGGTGTTTATGAGTTTTGGTTATTTTTTGGAGGTGCTATTTGTAGGAGGGAATAAGATACCGAGAAGGTGTTACCCGTCAGCTTTGAAGCGAAACATACTGCCTGAAGGGGGTGGACTCTCGGCACTATAGGTATCTTCGGATACTCTGCCTTCCAGGTATCGTGACTATTCATCGATTTCTCCGCGTCGATCAACGTCCTCGGGAGGACGTCTAACGAAACAATATACCTTGACCAGACGGACCTCCCTGATCATGCCAGAAGAGGTAGGTGTTCGGGTCACTCGTGTTCCCTGTTGGCACACCAGTCAGGTGTGTTATAGGCCAACCCATCGAGTCGAAGGAAGGAAGCAAGACCTCCAACCTTCACAACCACGCGCACATGCGCACCTGATCTTCTGCCTGTCGCTTGGCCTCCTCTTGCCCCTGCAGCTTCTCCAGAAGCTGATACTGCTTCTCCTTTCGTACACGAAGCTGCTCTTGCAGAGACTCCAGCTCAACCTGGGTCTTCATCTTGAGCTCGGAGTTCTGGTGTTTCACCTGCTCCGATTCCGCTCGCAGAAGTCGCACCTGTTCGTGGCGAGCAAAGGGTTCATGAGGCATCAAGAGAAGAGGCAGGCCTCGTCTTGCGTCCGTTGTTTCACACAATGGCAACTTTACTGGCTGTGATACGCTATATAGGCGGCCACCGTGGCAACATAACCAATCGCAGTTCAATCAAACGAGTCTCTTTCCCAGAGTTGTTGTCCTGCAGACAATATCGAGGTCAACAGGGGGAACGTCGCGTTCTCCCCATTCTCCTCTGCGTTCTGATTACAACCCCGCCTTATGAAGCGTCCGGAGAACTCTGGTCCTCTACCAGCTAACACACTCTTCCCTGACGTCCGCGCTTGCCTGGAACCCACCTCTTCTGCACGGAGTTGTCCCTCCCTGGCGGCCCTGCCCGCCATCTCTTCGTGACTTTTGGCAGTAGTGAGGAGGCTGCCGTACTTGGAGCGCAAGGCCTCTAACTCTTTCACCGTCGCCTGCGCGGTGTGTGCATGCGACACGGTTTTCCTTTTAGTTAATGGTGGGGAGGTGGTACTACAGCAAACAAACGTCGAGACTCTACCACTATAAAATTGCACGGGAATCCTTCCCTCTAGAATCAAGACGTCTCGGCAATGGACATATTGTACATGGTAGTCCGAACAGCCTTGCATTTGCTCTGCTCCGCCGAACGTGGCGAGTTGTTTGCAAGCAGAAAGATGGTCAAATCCCGGGTTATCTGCATCCTTCCAGACACTTTGACATGTTTTCAGGTAGTCGAAACCAATATAGTTGTTCAATGCAGCGACTGATGTTTGTTTTTCGTGGCATCTTTTACATGTAGTCAAGGCCGATGTATGCATGACAGCATCCAACCACTGACTCATGTGAGGGGACTTAAAAATCAAATGCCCATAATAAACCATGATAAACATGCACCTCGTTCGCCGCGCTCAATCTCGCAGTCTGCGCCTCCTCTTGCTCCAGGAGCCGCAACAGCTCCGCGTTCTGATCCGTCATGATCCTCAGCTGCTTGTCGCGATCCGCGGCCTCCGCTTGAACTCTCTTCAACGCCGCCTCGGCCGCCCTCGCTCTCCCCTGAGACTCGAAAACTGTTTCTCTCAGGGTACGGTTTTCCTCCTCCGCTGTGAGTCGTTCCTGCTGAATGCGGGTCGCTTCCTCTTCGACCCTGTCCGACCGAAGAGTACGATATATATATTGGGTATCGCGTTGTTGATGTGGTTAGTATTTTTCAAATATGTCTTGCATCTCATATTTTGAACGGGTGTTGCATCATGTAGATTGCAGTAGTTATTCCAGTATGGGATTGACGTACCATGTATGGTATGCGCCTCTGCAAGAGAGGGATGATAATTATTCGGTTGGATTCTTATTCTTTCGACTGAGGAGGACAGTTTGGTGTGATGGTGAACGGTGTGACGAATGGCGATGTTGTGAAGGCTCTTACTCAGGCAAGGTGTTTCTGAATGAACTCTGTGGGGAGCGTGCACGTACCCCGACCGCATAAAAATAATGGATTGTCGTCTGCCAACGTCTGCTGGTTTAGTCTATGGACTACACCTTGTAAGCACTGCTGCTGTGCTCCGCGTACATAGCCTCCTTTAGGTCTAGACTACGCCGACCACGGGCGGAGTCAGCGAGAGATACAAGAGTGCGTACGGCCGCCCTTTCCGAAGCTGGTCACATGCACATTGACATGTGTAAGTTCGCTGGGTCTTCGGCTATGTGCTGCGACTGCTGCCAACTCGCGACAACAATGTAAACTGGACGTGAGGACCAAAAAAACAGTAACCGATGCCGCGCTCCCACCACGTTTACACCTACCGGTCTAGGTTTCTCAGTAGCTGGTTGTTCTGGTCCTGCAGAATACGCAGTTGCTCGTCCTTCATCTTCAAGGCCTCGTTCGCGCGGGACTCTCGCGCGGCCCTCAGGTCGGCCACGGTCCTCGTCTTTGTGGTGTTACCGGCACCACCCCCCTGCTGCAGCTTCCCCGCTCCTCCCGCAACGCTTCGTCTCCCTCTCTGCTGATCACCGTTTTTCGCGCCACCCTCGGCAACGGGCGCACGGGACGGCATCGGCGCACCAGCGGGCGAATTGATAACATACGTGTCATCAAACTCATTGCTCCTGGGTCCGCTGCTGGTTATACCTGTGCTGGGTTCTTGTGTGGCTGCGAATGGGTCCACTAGGTCCTGAGGACCAGACGAGTTGCGTACGCTCATGTTCGGACGTTCGTACCGATGCACCCTGTGTGGTGCGCGGTGTCGGAGCCACGATGAGAGAGAGAGAGAGCGCGCGCTGCTTCTCCCCGCCCTCCCCTAATCCCCCCCCCCCCTCTCTCTCTGCGGGTCCCTTGTTTTATTGACTGCTTGCGTTCGTACCTCTTGGCGTCGAAAAGCCCGTGTTACCGTTCATTTGTCGTCGGCGGCCGGGCGTTTCTCGGGTTTGTTGTGAGATGGAGGCGCTGTTTTTTCGCGCCCCACCGCATTCCTTCAGGTGTTCCGCCGCTCCTGCGCGAGAAGAAACAGACCTGCTGCGCAACTGCTGTGCAAGTAGACACAGCAAGCAAGAGAGAGGAAACGACACACAGAGAGGCGAAGCTTCAAGGCTGGGGCTTACAAAGCAGACAAAGGCATCGCGGCCACAGGAAATCGTCACGAGTTCATCTGTAGCGTTTGTTGAGCAGTGCGCGAATACTGAGCGAGCACTCCCAGCTTACCTGCTGTGGCATCGACAGCTCGACAGCGGCCAGGCACCCACCTATGCCTGCATAGGACAACAGAAGAAGGAAAGGGCGCCTGTACTACTGCTGTACCGCTTTTTGAACTGCTGGAGCAGGAGAAGCAGGCAGGAGGTCCGGCAGGCAAGGTGCAAAAGCAGCAGCACGCAGTAATTTTCATGGGGCCCAAGTAAGTCTAGTCGGAACATTGCTGTTGGAGAAAGAAGACGTTCAAGAATAGTCTAGTCGAACAGGCGACAAGAGTGGACACGGCGGGCAAAGGTTGCTGCAAAGATGGTGGTGGCGGCAGAGGCGGGCGTGCATCCTCCGCCGACAGAGAGCGACACCGGTACCAACGTCAGCAACAATGACGATAGCAGCACGGGTCAGCCGCCGTCCGGAGGGGAGGATAAGCTACTCCTGGCGATGTGCCGGACCATCAGGAAGGAGACGGGGTGGCAGGAGAGGACGCTGCGGCAAGCCTGCGACTGGGCCACAGGTGCGTCGAGCGGATGGGAGGCATCATGCCGCGAGCGCATCTACTTATTTTTCCTCTCTGGTTGTTATATACTGCTTCTGCCGCCAGGTGGCTACATATTGTGATCGTGTCGCGTGCCCTCAAACCTTGCGCCAACATTCTGGAGCCCCAGAATATGCATGAAACTATGAAACTGCACTTGTTGGATCGATCGATCGACACACAACCTCCTGGGGGATACAGACGAACGTGGAATGCTTCGCCAATCTGCGTTGCTGGCTTGGGTCATAAGAGAAGGGTGCATACTCCCCCTTTGCAAAAGTCACCATAATATAGATTCGTTTCGCTTTGTGTCTCCTATAAGCGCAACCAGGACCGCCAGCACTGGTTACGCTGCTGAGCTTACGGAGAACCCGTGATCGGCCGGTCTCACAGAACACCTCGCCCCTGGCGTGCATACATGCCGTCAACACATGGTACCACACCTCCTCTTGATGCCCCAACGCTTTCTTCCAGCTGCGCCTACCAATACCTGTTATACGCTGCTGTGGTGGCGGTTAAATTATGGCCATTGTGCATCACATAGACGATTGGCAGTTTCTGAAAGGCGCTGCAACTTGGTTTTTGCCCGTTTGGTCTTTTTAGGATTTGAACATACGAACACGGAGAGACTATCCGATAGAGACATGACCGCAGCAGTCTTGTGTGCAGCGGGGGAATCGGCGCCCATCAAGACGTTGCTCTTTTCCGTACAAACCACCACCACGTTTCTGGTTGCGTCAGGGTTTCCGTAGGCGGCGTCACTGCTAGCAGCCCCACTTGTCGGAAGGCAATTCCTCAACAACAGGTGAAACCGGCAGATGATGCCGGTCAGCCGCCGTACGTAGGGCGCGAAGAAAAAAAACAGCAAGCAAGAACTGACTATGCCCATGCTGCTGTGTGCCCAAGCTGGCGTTAGCCGAGTAGCCGCTTTTACGACTGTACCTCCCCGCACCCGTTCACCCTGTACGTGTGGCTGACTACCCCGATTCGGTTATGGGCAAGCTTTTGCGCGCTTCGCGTAGGTCTCATATTGTAACTCCACGTCGTCCATCGTGTTTCCTGCTCGAAAAGGCGAGCTCGAGCAAAACCAGCATCCCGGGGTAGGGATGGCGCGGTACTACCGTGTGGTCGAGCTCGCGATGGGGTCCAAGTCCGAGGACGTCGTTGAAGCGGCCCTGGGCCAGCTGCACAAGCTAATCGGTGAGCCTGCGATACATTGTTTAGCACAAGCTTCGCATGGCTCCAGTGCATTCGTAACAAGCCTTACTTGAGCGAAAACGGGGTTGGCGGACCGTTGGGTGCTGGGCATGGGTACTTTTCTAGGCTTCGTGGTACGTGCTGCTTTGGCAGCGTCGCCTCTGATCGTGATAGTATGTTCGCAGGTACTGTTGTGACACACCAGGGTTACTTTAGGGCCCGCGCGTAGAGTCACGTCCTATGTAGGACGCCGGCTTCCTCACCTCGCCTCTGGTTGGAACTGCTATCCTCGTGGTTGGGTGCAACACGTTACCCACGCACCGCCCCGGAATCAATCTAGATATCTTCGGTTGTTCGTGTACCGCGCGTGCTCTCTCTTTGTCGCCCTCGCTTTTTTTGGGGGGGGGTGCTATCTTGTGTCATGTTATCGCCGACAAAATCAGCCGGTGGCCTCGTGAGGAGGAACACCATGACCACCCTCAAGGACGGGAGCTCCGCCAACCTCGGCGAGATCCTGGTGGGGGTCGTGATGGAGACAGGGTCGCGGGATAAGACCGTGAGACGGGGCGGTCGGGCCCAGGCCGTGAGGTGCCTCTTGTCGTGCGTGACTTCTACGGAGATTGAGGCAAGTACGGCAGAGAGAGAGAAAGAGAGAGAGAGAGAGAGAGAGAGAGGGCGAAACAGCCGGCAGTGAAACAGCCGGAAGCTATTGTAGTATGTTGTAGATGCCGTCCTGGTCGGGGCTAAGTAGTCTAATGGGTAAGCCTTCTATTAACATCGTTGTCAGTAGTGTCGATGGTTTTGGTGTTTTGCTCGTAGGTTGTAGCATCGTTATTGTTCGTGTTGGGGTTGTTGCCGCTGCTGTCGTCGGCCCGTCCCAGCATTAAGCATCCACGTATACCACCCGGGGTAGCATCAAAGTTCAGATACGCAATTCGCAGATTAGTAACAACCGTTTGTTGCCCGTACAATGCAGTTTCGCGCGTGTTAACAAATGGGCCAATGTTCATGCTGGGGGTCAACAATGCCGCACGTCCTCGCCGCACGTCCTCGCTCCCCCCATACAGCCCCCAAAACACACCAGTACAATTGTAGGTAGAGTGCGTCATGCACATATCATTAACGTGCGGGTGGTCGCACAGGCGTGCAATCAGTTTTTGAAGATCGATTGCTCCACGACCGAGAGGGTGCGAAGCTTTGCCGACACGTGCAGGCAAGGTCTCGACGAGAAAGATGTTCGCAAAAGCCACCCTTTTCGGTTATTGGTGTGCTTTCGCCCGCACGCTTACGGTAAACACCACTCGAGCGTTGAACGACTTATGTGACAAGAGAGGAACGGCACTGCGCGTCTCGTGTGGCAAGCGTGCTGCCCCCATGATGTCGACATGTTTTATACCAGCAGCAAAAGTAGCACCCACTCCCACCCACCCCCCTTCTCCCTGAGCTGCGGTCTCCAAAACCCGTTTGTCGATCGATCCTAATTGTAGTATACTCTCTGATGGCATACATCGGCAGGTCCACGGAGAAGAGCTGCGTAAAGTTGCTTTGTTCGTGCACGAGACGTTCTTGGTGATCGACTCCACCGCCAACAGGGCGAGGTACAACAAGGCGCAGGCTAGGGCTACTCTCGACCACATCTTGCAGGTGCGCGCGCGGCGGCCGCCTTTTATAGTTTTTTGTGTGTTTGTCCTCTTTGTGTCGATGGTGTCATTGCTGTTGCTGCTGCTGCTGCTGCTGCTGCTGTGGTTGTTTGCCTGGCGTTACGATACCGGAGGAGCTGTTCCTAGCGACGAAGGCAGGGAGCCTTGAGAAAGCATGAGCTGGATGTGGACAAAACGTCAAAATTCGTGTTTCGTGGTGGTGCTGCCTTTGTCGAAATACACACGACACAACGTCTTCTTCTTGGGGACCCCCCTACCTCCGATGTGCCCCCCCCCCCCCCACGCAGATGACCTTCTCCAGACTGGAGATGGAATCGCCGTCCCCTAGCCTCCACGGCGGGCAGGGGCAGCAGGCATCACCTTCCCCGAAGAAGCGCCCCACCCAGCGCTATCGAGGCGTTGCTCTCGCCAGCGAGACGCTCGGAGTTATC